TACCAGAAGCAGAATTTTGAATTTTAGGTTCAGCTACTTGCTGTTGAAAGGAGTAAGGTTGAGGAAGTCTTGCTGTATGATCCTCAGACCAGTGTAGGAAGTGAACACAACAATTCCCTTTTGCCCTAAAGTATTTATTCCTATGTAAAAAAAAACCAAAAAACACAAAACAAACCCAAAAACAACTCTAAAAGAAAACTGCCAGTTCTGAAGGGTCAGAGCAACACTTTATGATGAATCTGAGTTTGCCCTTCACTGGAGCAGGGATTCAAAGGGAGTGCTGCACATGTCATGAGAGAAGGGAGCTGCTCGGGCTCTCCCACTCGCTGCTTTGCCCTCTCTGTTGCCAGAGGAGGAGGTGCCCCGAGCCTGGGCACTGCCTGCCAGGGATGCCACACTGCATCCTGCACTGGCTGCTCTGCTCAGGGCTTGACATGGGCTGGGGGCTGCTATAACAGCACTCATGAAGGGTGCCTCACCATTCATTGCTACAGGACTGTTCATTACAACCCTCCGTGGGCGTTTTGCTGTGCTGTGTTGGCTGTGTCACATGTACCCATGTACACGTTGCTTCATCAGGTCATGCTCAGGGGTAGCCAGTGGCAAGGCCTCCTCCTGTCCCACTGCTCATGGGAGAGAGAGAGGAAATGCCCCCGTGCTCTTGCAGTTCTGCCTGCCTGGGTTTCTGCAGCGAGCAGGGCGAGGGGCAGCTCTGAACCCTGCCCATGCAGGGGGGCAGGAGGGGTGAAGCCCCCAGGGCAGCTGATCCCAGCTGGCCAACCCAAGGATTCCATACCATAGAATCATAGAATCATCATAGAATCACAGAATCCTAGGGGTTGGAAGGGACCTCGAGAGATCATCTAGTCCACCCCCCCTGCCAGAGCAGGGTCACCTAGAGTACATCACACAGGAACTCATCCAGGTGGATTTTGAATGTCTCCAGGGAAGGAGACTCCACAGCCTCCCTGGGCAGTCTGTTCCAGTGCTCTGTCACTCTCACAGTAAAAAAATGTTTTCAGATATTCACCTTGAACCTCCTATGCTCCAATTTACACCCATTGCCCCTTGTCCTATCACTGGTCATCACTGAGAAAAGCCTAACTCCAACCCAACCCTCACCCTCACCATAAACAGGGAAGCTTGCGAGGACGTCTGGGGCCTGTACCACGGCTGCCTTCCCAAGGAGGCCCCATCCCTCTGGCTGGTCGCCCCTCGCTCCAGGCCCCCGCCCGCCGTGACCCCCGCGCTCCCGGGAACGCGGAGCCGCCAAACCCCCTTCCTTTCCGACACTGCTCCCCGAAGCGGGAGGCCGGGCCAGGATCCCGCGGCCCAGACCCGGTAACAACCACCACTGAGCAGGCCCTCCCTACTGCAGCGCTGGGGATTCTCCTCCCCAGCAGGGCTCCGACCTGTCAGCCCGACACCCCGACTAACATACACCCGAAAACACGCGTATCTCATGTCTGAGTTCCCAGAATGCTTTCACGCAGTCATTTAAATTAATTTAATGGATTTGGCTATATTTGTAATTATGCCTGCCGAGGGTCTCCTGGTGGTGTGTGTGGG